GAGGTGGTCGGAGATGTCTATACCCCCGATGAAGGAGGTGGTCGGAGATGTCTATACCCCCGATGAAGGAGGTGGTCGGAGATGTCTATACCCCCGATGAAGGAGGTGGTCGGAGATGTCTATACCCCCGATGAAGGAGGTGGTCAGAGATGTCTATACCCCCGATGAAGGAGGTGGTCGGAGATGTCTATACCCCCGATGAAGGAGGTGGTCGGAGATGTCTATACCCCCGATGAAGGAGGTGGTCTGAGATGTCTATACCCCCGATGAAGGAGGTGGTCTGAGATGTCTATACCCCCGATGAAGGAGGTGGTCTGAGATGTCTATACCCCTGATGAAGGAGGTGGTCGGAGATGTCTATACCCCTGATGAAGGAGGTGGTCGGAGATGTCTATACCCCTGATGAAGGAGGTGGTCGGAGATGTCTATAACCCTGATGAAGGAGGTGGTCGGAGATGTCTATATTCGTAATGAAGGATCAAGCATCTGAGGAAGAACTGATGACAGTGTTGTCTTCCACATCAGACCTCTGAGGTGAGCCTAGTATGGTGCCCTGACATCAAACAATACACAATGTGAAAACATTGAACACACAAACACTTACACACACACTGTACACACACACATACATACTGCTGTGCTCACACCTGGAGGAGAAGATCCATCACATGCCCATTGCTCACTGACTGCCAATGAAAGATGCCTGCTCCTATCCCACCTCTATTAGTTGTGTGGGATACATGAGACAGCCACTGGCCTCCTCTTCTCTATCCAGGACACAGAGAGCCTATAATCAACTAGCTCTTGCCAGAGGTGCCAATGGCCATTGGAAGGGATGGATGTCAATCTGGTGTTCCAGGTGGTGTGGCCACACCCACCCTGCCTGCTAGTCCCAAATGACATCGTTGGTGGGGCGGGAGAGCCGGCACAGGCATGGATGAATATCAGGAGGTGAGCAGCAACCGCGGTTGTCGCTTACCTCCTGCTGTGCGACTCATCAACAGGCCATGGCTCTGACCCACCAGGCAAACGCCCGGTGTGCTCTATGGCCAATCCGGGCCTGATGGTGAGAACTCAGTGATCAGTGGTCATGTGATCACTGAGTTCTCACTCTTAGAGCCGGTGGGGGACCGATGCTTTAGCCACCTTGGTAAGCATGATATTTTAAAATGTATCCCATACTTCTTTTTTCATGGTAAATCTAAATGTGATTGTACAGTCAGAGTGAAAGGTGTGTGGTGAGCTTTAGCTCTAAAGTTTTCTTTCAGCTTTATTCATTCTATTTGATTTCTGATTTTTTATTATTATGGTTCGGGTTGGATTTACTATTGTAAAAACTGCACATGACGTAGTATATTTAAATATACCCTACAGAAGTTAGATAGCATCATCATATACACTATATTGCCAAAAGTATTGGGACACCCCTCCAAATCATTGGATTCAGGTGTTCCAATTACCTCCATGGCCACAGGTGTATAAAATCACGGTCACAAAATTACAGGAAATAAATCCACGGTCAGCTGTTAGTGGTATTATAACAAAGTGCAAGGAACTGGGAACAACAGCAACTCAGCCATGAAGTGGTAGGCCATGTAAAATGACAGAGCAGAGCGAGTGCATGCTGAAGGGCACAGTGCGCAAAAGTCGCCAACTGTCTGCAAAGTCAATAGCGAAAGACCTCCAAACTTCGTGTGGCCTTCAGATTAGTACAGTGCATAAAGAGCTTCATGGAATGGGTTTCCATGGCCGAGCAGCTTCATCCAAGCCTTACATCACCAAGTGCAAGGCAACGCATCGAATGCAGTGGTGTAAAGCACGCCACCACTGGACTCTAGAGCAGTGGAGATGTGTTTTCTGGAGGGACGAATCACGCTTCTCTGTCTGGAAATCCAATGGACATGTGTCAAGGTCCTACCTTTCCTCAGAGATTGTGTTGCTCCATGTGCTGGTATCCATCTTAAGTTCCTGCAAAGCATGGTGGGAGCCTTTATGCTTTCAGGCCTCTGCGGCTCCTCCTCCAGAGGGGTGTGGCTGATCACATTTAAGCCTGCTGTCTGCAGTTGCTCTTTGCATTCGTGTCCTGTATGTTCCTTTGCAGCAAGCTCTTGTTCTGTTCTCGTTGCTCTCCTGGTAACCGACTCGGCTTGGACAAGACTATTCTCTGCTTAATCCCATTACCTGACCTCCCGTTGCTGAACCCGGCCCATGACCTGAGTATTCTTGTCTACCGTCTTGTACTGTTTGCTCCGTTGTTATCGACCCGGCCTGTCCGACCACGCTATACGTTTTCTATCTGGCTCCCACCAGCTGTACGCCATTGGCGGCAGTCGTTACTGCAGCTGGGGTTTACTCGGGGGCCGCGACCTGGTCTTACGCTGCGTCAAGTCCATCCCCACCATCAGGGGCCCTGGTGAAGGGCAGGCTGGGGCTTAGACTCCGCGCCCTGAGGGACCCTGGTCTGTGAGTAGTGGCTGTCGCCAGTCACTGCGTGACACTACCATTAGGCCTGCCTGCCCTTTTCACTGCTCCTGCCCTGACATTATGTTTGGGTTCAGTGGTGGCCAGGACAAAAAGGTACTTGCCTCACTGCATTGTGCCAAGTGTAAAGTTTGGTGGAGGCAAGCCAGGCCTTCTCGTCCAACATCAGTGCCTGACCTCACAAATGCGCTTCTGGAAGAATGGTCAAACATTCCCATAGACACACTGCTAAACCTTGTGGACAGCCTTCCCAGAAGAGTTGAAGCTGTTATCGCTGCAAAGGGTGGGCCAAGTCAATATTGAACCTTACGGACTAAGATTGGGGTGCTAGTAAAGTTCAGATCAGATAAAATACAGTAGACTGAGTGTTATGGGTGCTTTTGATTACAATGCACATCAGGATCATTCCTGTCTTTTTGATAATTTCTTTATTCACAGAATGAGAATCAACAAGGATAATAGTACAGATCGGCAAATCATTTACAGATTCAGATATACAGTATATTAAACTGTTAAATAATTAAGAACAATTTATGTAGCCTGTTTGTACATGGCTGCAAATAAAACTCAGCTGTGTTACGCCAGCATCATAACTTGTGAACTCGTGGATTTTAAAGTGATAAACCCAAACCAAAAATGTTATATACTGCAGCCTACTAATAATTAGATGTGGTGGCTGCATTCATTTCTTTTTTTAAGCCTCTCCCTCCTGTTTTCAACCAGCAGTCTGGCTAGTAACCTGTATTAAGAGTTCCCTCACTCTGGAAGGAGCACAGCAGGCCTCTCTGGACAGCAGCATTGTCAGTCAGGGGAGTAGCAGATGTACTAACAGATTTAAATACAAAAATTGAAGCCAAACTCCAGCTAACACTTTATAAGCATTTACAGCAAACTGTTTTTTTTCCTTTTGGGATAACAGTTTTTACATAAATAAAACTAGTCATTGTAAGCCAGTGTTGAATGGTTTGTCTCATCCCTGTAACTGACACATTTGCAAGAGAGCTTGTTCTTTTGAAAAACAGACATACTGGCTGGGTCACTAAATGAAAATAGAAGAAATGAACCCTAAAAAAGAAAAACGAATGCAGCCATCACATCTAAGAATTGGTAAGCTGTGATATAATAAATGTTTGCCCTTGTGTTTAATACCACTTTAAAGTGTGCATAATATCATCATTAATATGTATGTTATAAAAAAAAAAAAAAAAAAAAAAAAAATAGAATGTGTTTCTGGTAGATATAGGTCAGGGGTGGGCAAACTTTTTGACTTGAGGGCCGCAATGGGTTCATATATTGGACCCGGGGGCCGGACCAAGAGTAGATGAATGATGTGTATGTGTCATCCATAGTAAGTATAGTAATATTCCCCCATAGTAAGCATAGTAATTAATCCCCCATATAGTAATTCATCCCCCATAGTAATTCGTCCCCCATATAGTAATTCGTCCCCCATATAGTAATTCATCCCCCATAGTAATTCATCCCCCATATAGTAATTCATCCCCCATATAGTAATTCATCCCCCATAGTAATTCATCCCCCATATAGTAATTCATCCCCCATAGTAATTCATCCCCCATATAGTAATTCATCCCCCATATAGTAATTCATCCCCCATATAGTAATTCATCCCCCATAGTAATTCATCCCCCATAGTAATTCATCCCCCATATAGTAATTCATCCCCCCTATAGTAATTCATCCCCCATATTAAGTCCCCAAGTCCCCCCTGTGTCAATTCACTTACCTTTGCTCCGCGCGTTCCTCTCGCCCTTTCCCGCGCCGTTCCGGTGTAGCATGAAAATCTGTCTCCTATGAGGATCTGTCCCCCTCGACGTATCTGCGCATGTGCCAGTTTCAGGCATTAGCAGCCGATCGGCGATCTCCGGCACATGCGCAGATATGTCGAGGGGGACAGATCCTCATAGGAGACAGATTTTCATGCTACACCGGTCTTCAGGGCGGACTGTGTGAGGAGCCTAGCGGGAGCCTAGCTCCGCGGGCCGGATTAAAAGGTCCGCCGGGCCGTATACGGCCCGCGGGCCGTAGTTTGCCCATTGCTGATATAGGTAAATCCAGAACATTTTAGTTGTAGTAGCACAGTTTAAAATACTGCCATGCAGAAAAATCCACACCCCTGTGGTTAATCACCAAATACTAAATCCAATTATGATGGTCAAATGTGGTATATATGAGAAACAAACGTATGTCCTTACTGTGATATCTTAGTCTGAAACATCAAAATACCAGCAAATGTGATATCAGTGATTAATATAAGAAATAAAACTTCTGTAGTTTTTAGGTCAAAATAGTGACAGTCATGTTTATTTTTTCTTTTAGAACCTGTTTTTACGAGTGTTTGAGCTGCCTTTTAACAGTTTTTTTTTTGCATCCACATTGACTTGGGTGGGGGGAAAAAAGGTAAGAAATACACCTGTATACAAGCCCTTAAAATGATACTAAGTACACAGAGACCCATGTTACTCCATTAGCATTGTAAATAGGTAAAAGGAACTTACTCTGAGGTTGATTCTTCTTCTTTCTTATTGATGCCCTAAGTAGATCTGAGCCTTGTAGATCCTCTTGGAATCGGTGAGACTTGACGTCATGAAACCATTCTCCGGTTACAAACTTTTTCTTCTTTTCATCCTTGATTGACCCCTGAACACGTCTGAAAAGTGAATTATCCATCAGTGCCCATCACAACACTTTAATTTTATCTCATTTCAGATCCACATATGCACAATTACATGTTTAGGTTTACGGTCTTGCTAGATGTCCCAGCAGCATCTCAGCTCCAGTTCATAGACTTTGACCTAAAGTTCTCCTGCAAAGACTGATAGGGTTTTCAATAATAGCAAGGTGCCATGGCCCTGTTGCAGTAAAACATCCCCCAGTTCACGACACTATCACCACCATACCTGGCTTTTTGTAGCTTCCTACTGTAGAATGCTTTTTTTTTCTTTTTTTTTGTAGCATATATACTGTATATGTTTACATTAAAAAGATTTTAGATTATAAATCCACAGATCATTTTTTCTTACATGATTAGAAACACTCCAGCCATGTGTACGTATATATGCAGGAGCTGCACTGCTGTAATAGTTATGGTGGCAGCAAAAGGTTTAATGACCCAGTTTGGATATGTACACATATTTTAATGGTAGCAGCTTCTTTAAAGGGATAGTCAGCATTACCATTAAAGTACCATTAATGTACACTCTAAGAATGAACTTTTTTTATTTTCTTACTTTTGGTCTGTGAAATATACCAGTAGAAGCAAATATTTATATTTTTGATAAGTGCATATACTATATACAGTATATAATTTAAAAAAGACAACCGTTATTATATACTGTAAAAAAAACAAAAAAAAGTGCTCTACCTGTATCAAATATGATATAAATTAATTTGGGGAAAAATGTTGCATGACACAGTATATGTAAAGCTATCACAGAACTGAAACACAGACTGGCAATGAAGAGTTATTAAAGGCTAGAACTCAAGTTTTTAAAGGGATAAAACCTAGGTGTGTGTGTGTGTGTGTGCGTGCGTGCGTGCGTGTGTACGTACGTACATACATACATACATACATACATACATACACCCTTTGCAGCTATAACAGCTTCAACTCTCCTGGGAAAGCTGTCCACAAGGTTTAGAAATGTGTCTATGGGAATGTTTGACCATTCTTCCAGAAGCACATTTGTGAGGTCAGCCACTGATGTCGGACGAGGAGGCCTGGCATTATCGTGCACCAGCGTAGGGTCTGACAATGGGTCCAAGAAATTTCATCCCGATACCTAATGGCAGCCAGGGTGCCATTATCTAGCCTGTAGAGGTCTGTGTGTCCCTCCATGGATATGCCTCCCATCACTGACTCACCACCGATACGGTCATGCTGAACGATGTTACAGGCAGCATAACGTTCTGCACGCCTTCTCGAGACCCTTTCTAGTCTGACACGTGCTCAGGGTGAACCTGCTCTCATCTGTGAAAAGCACAGGGTGCCAGTGGTGGACCTGCCAATTCTGGTGTTCAATGTCAAATGCCAATCGAGCACTATGGTGCCGGGCAGAGAGCACAGGGCCCACTAGAGGACGTTGAGCCCTCAAGCCACCCTCATGAAGTTGTTTCTGATTGTTTGCTCAGAGAAATTCACACCAGTGGCCTGCTGGAGGTCATTTTGTAGGGCTCTAGCAGTACTCATCCTCTTCCTCCTTGCACAATGGAGCAGATACCAGTCCTGCTGATAGGTTAAGGACCTTCTACGACCATGTCAACCTTTCCTATTATTATATTATACAGTATTTATAAAGCCAATAGTTTGCTCAGCGCTGAACATTACAAAGGGAAACAGAACATGCGACAGTACAATAACAATACAATGTGATACACGAGGGGTTTGAGGGCCCTACTCTTTCGAGCTTTCGAGGAAGAGTAACTACCTGTCTCTTGGAATCTCTGCCATGCTGAGACTGTGCTGGGAGACACAGCAAACCTTCTGGCCATGGCACGTATTGATGTGCCATCCTAGAGGAGTTGGACTGCCTGTGCAACCTCTGTAAGGTCCAGGTATCACCAGGAGTTTAACTGACTTGATGCTATACTCTGATTGAAAAGTGTGTTGAAAAAAGTGAATAAAGCTCATAATCCTTCTAATAGCTTTTATTTCCATACACACAAATTCATTGGGAACACTACACATTCTATTCCAAATCAAAACATGAAGAAAAATATATCAAAATTTGTGTTGTTCCTCTAAAAAAAATATAAGAAAAGTGAATATTAGACTGTTCAAAAAAATAGCAGTGTTTGTATTCTTCTTTACAAACTCAAACATTCACTATATAAACTGAAAAATGTTTGAAGATTTTGCTTTCCTTTGAATCACTTAATGAATATTTAGTTGTATAAGCACTGTTTCTGAGAACTGCTGTACATCTGTGTTGCATGGAGTCAACCAACTTCTGGCACCTGTGAACAGGAATTCCAGCCCAGGATGATTGGACTACATTCCACAGTTCTTCTCTATTTCTTGGTTTTGCCTCGGAAACTGCATTTTTGATGTCACCCCACAAGTTTTCTATTGGATTAAGATCCGGGGATTGGGCTGGCCACTCCATAACGTCAATCTTGTTCGTCTAGAACCAAGATGTTGCACATTTACTGGTGTGTTTGGGGTCGTTGTCTTGTCGGAACCCCCATTTCAAAGGCATTTCCTCTCAGCATAAGGTAGCATGACCTCTTCAAGTATTCTGACGTATTCAAACTGATCCATGATCCCTGGTATGCGATAAATAGGCCCAACACTGTAGTATGAGAAACATCCCCTTATCATGATGCTTGCGCAACCATGCTTCACTGTCTTCACAGTGTACTGTGGCTTGAATTCAGTGTTTGGGGGTCATCTGATAAACTGTCTCCGGCCACTAGACCCAAAAAGAACAATCTTACTTTCATCAGTCCACAAAACGTTGCGCCATTTCTCTTTAGGCCAGTCAATGTGCTCTTTGGCAAATTGTAACCTCTTCAGCATGTCTTTTTTTCAACAGTGGGACTTTGCAGGGGCTTCTTGCAGATAGCTTGGCTTCACATAGGCGTCTTCTAATGGTAACAGTATGCACAGGTAAATTTAGACCTTCTTTGATCTTCCTGGAGCTGAATGTTGGCTGAGTCCTTGCCATTTTGGCTATTCTTCTATCCATTCGAATGGTAGTTTTTCGCTTTCTTCCACGTCTTTCAGGTTTTGGTTGCCATTTTAAAGCATTTGTGATCATTTTAGCTGAGCAGCCTATCATTTTCTGCACTTCTTTATATGTTTTCCCCTCTCCAATCAACTTTTTAATCAAGGTATGCTGTTCTTCTGAACAATGTCTGGAACGACCCATTTTCCTCAGAATTTCAGAGAGAAATGCACTGTAACCAGCATGTACAACATTTGCTGCCTTCCTTCCTTAAATAAGGGCAATAATTGCCACCTGTTTTTCAAAGAATGAATGACCTCACTAATAGAACTCCACACTGCTATTATTTTGAACATGTCCCTTTCAATTAGTGATTGAATTACACAGAATCAGCAGCATGCATGTCATGACTGTTGGGTCTGTTGGATTTCTATTACTCTACTACACCTGCCAGTAAATTATTTGCCATGTAGAAATATAATTTCTATCAAAAACAGTGATTGATCAGGTTAGTGATGTCTGACTGCTATTATTTTGAACACAACTGTGTATGTCTGTGTGTGTGTGTGTGTATATATATATATATATATATATATATATATATATATATATATATTTTTTTTTTTTTTTTTTTCCAAATATTTTTTATTGAAAAGATTTTTAACATCAGTATAAACATATAACCATTAGAGTAGAAAGGGTACACATATGTTGATTGAAAACATGTAAAGAAGATGAAGATGTTGCAAGTCCCCACCATGTGGCCGGGGAACTGAATATCGTAGTCAAAATTACATGAGAGGTATGCTCATTAATATGTGAACCATGTTGGAGTAACAGGATCTTAAAGGTGGATATAGATTGGAATATAAATTTAAACAGGGATTGGAAAGAAATAGGGAAAGGGGGGAGGAGAGGGATTAGGCACCGTTATCTTTATCTTAGAAGTATGTATACTATAAAAAAAATTGAAATTAGTAATCAATTAATTGAACAGTTGGGATGGTTTAGCCATCGAGACCAGTGTAGCGTAAATTTGTGGTACATAGAGTTTCGAATGGCCGTTCTTCGCTCCATCTCGCACTGCAGGTTGAGGTCATTCACCAGACGTGAGAGCAGAGGAGAGGATGTGGATCGCCAGAGTTTGGTGATGTTGATCTTTGCCGCCGCTAGGATGTGTAAGATAATGATGCGTGAGTTTGAGGGGAATTTATCTATAGTTATATGAAGGAGGGCCAGGGCAGGGTCTGGAGTCACAGGTGTGTCTGTGATTGAAGAGATCAATTGGAAGACTTTATTCCAGTAAGATTTGAGAGATTTGCATGACCAAAGCACATGGAAGAGGGAGCCAGTTTCTCCACAATGTCTCCAGCACGCCTGGGATTGTTGAGGGTAATAGAGAGATAATTTAGTGGGGGTAAGATACCATTGGTGGAGGATTTTCATGTATGATTCCCAATGGGCACTACATTTCGACGCTTTATAAGTAATGTTGAACGTCGTTTCCCAGGGGTGTGGGCTTATCGAGAGTGTTAAGGTCTTTTCCCAATTAGTCAAGGATGAAGTAGAAGTTGTGAATTGCGCTATGGTTAGAAGTGTATAAAAAGTAGATATTCCTTTCTTCGGATATATGGTCCTATTCAGGAAGTGATGTGCAGTAGCTGGGATTTTTATTTTAAGTGGTATGTTTGTTTTGTGAAGTGAATGGATTATTCGCATATAGGTGAATTGGTCTTTATCAGGAAGACAAAATTTCTTCTGGAGAGTCTGAAATGTATCTGGGTTGTGGGTGCTAAAAAGGTCTTGGATATGATATATACCAAGCACTTTCCAAGAGGCCAGGTTTAGATGCGGGGATACAAAATGTAAGGATGAAAGCGGTGTAAGAATTCGAAGATTATCCTTATTGGAGCAAGTATAAGTTAAGAAGTCATGCCAAGCCGTCAGGGAAGCTTGCACGCATGGGTGTGTATGTAGAGGTTTA